GTATCACAGGTATACTTTCTGAAACATGCTGTCACTGCATGAGACATTTAAATCATCAGCTTAAATCCCACATGTGATTGTCGTAACCCTTGAACTAGAGCTGAATTCCAAACAAGTTAAATCTATTACGCAGATTATCGATCAATGAATTCTGAAACAAGACTATATTCTAAGCAAGGTGAATTCGTTATGTGGAATTCAATACAGGCAACTTGGAATGAGACTAAACTTTAAGTTAAATTCTATGTAAAATGTATAAAAAATCCCCAATTATTGCAAACGTGGAAGAAGCCTAGATTTTAAGCAAGTTATGTAGAATTAGATCAGTGCTACCCAGGAATGAGACTTGAATCTAGGCAAGTTGTATTCATTATATAGAATTAAATTATACTACCCTGGAATGAGGCTGCATTCTAGGCATGTACAATTCATTTCGTAAAATTTGATCAATGTTATTCTGGAATGAGCCTACATTATAGACTGGTTATTAAATTCATTTTGTAAAATGATGATCAATGCTACTCTGGAATAGAGCTAGATTCTAAGTATAAAGTAAGTTAAATTCATCAACCATGTCTGCTTTTCTAAATATCTATTTCATTTCAATGTCCCGAAAGTTTATAAAATGATCAAAATTGTGTCTGGAAGACATGTGACAAAAACCCCTTGTCTGAATATTTCATGTAAGAAGATAATCGAATTATATTACCGTATTTGCTCTATTATTAGTGTATGTGTTTACATAAATTGCAGAGGTGTGTCCATGGTCAAAACAAGTAATATTTTAATAATTCAGTATACCAGTACAAAAAATCTGATTGTTTTTATATGTGCTGCTATTGGAAATGCACTTCTGGAAGCAAATAGGAGTAGACAAAATCTTTGTACAGGAGTTATAACTCTGTGAAGGCCAAGGTCATAGGTCACTGTATATACATGTATATGTATATCAATCAGTATATGCACTATTTTGAGAGTCTAGAGGAGTTTAAATATCTACTGTGGTGCTGCAATTATTACTATCAGTGTGATTCATTACTTCCATCCCTAGTAGCCATGTTATACATACATACATGTAATACTAGATAACTGTATCTGACAATGTCTACTTCTGGTGGTTATTTTTATCAATTTATCTCCTAAATCTAGCCCATTATATTTAGAGATTTGATCAAAATAGTCTATTACCATGGCAGCGTAAAACGTACCCACTGCAAATAACGTCATACTTCTCTATATAAAGAATTGTTTTGACACCATAGTGTTTTTATCTGTATTTACCTTGGCATACTTAGCGTTCGTTTCCTGTTTCTTTCATTCATACTTGTTACTAATTTCAGTATTTGCGTCATTCAGCGGACCCCGACTATAAAACTATACAGGCCACATGAGGTGTTGGCTGCAACTTGCTGATAATGATTATCTCGCAATAGCATACTCCATGATTTCCTGCTGAACTGCATGCTGGGATGTAGGTGCTTGCATCTGTGATAAGCGTGGGCGTCGCTAGGGAAGCTGTCCTAATTGTGTTCATGTGTTTATTAGTTTTAGCACCTGGACATGTATTTTGCTCCCTGTCATTAACTTGTATTCTTGTTTCATGTCAAGGGTACACATGTCAAATTTAGCTCTTATTCCACTTATATCAGACCTTTGTAAGTGAATTAAATTAAATTTATCAACTTAGGTTATTGACACAAATATTTATAACAGCTGTTTGTTTATTATTAAAATTTACCGATAATTCAGCATATATTCAATAACAGTTTCGCTGTGTTATTAGGCCAATGTTCACATTTAGTAAAAAAAAATAGTGTAACCCCCCCCCCCCCCCTTGCTGCATGCTGGACAAATTCTTGACATAAAAATGTTGACCCGTATGAGTGTGTATTATAAATTTGTTATTTCATATCAATATTTACATGTTCTGATTCCAGACAAAACCTGCTATGTATTTAAAAAGAATTCTTGGTCATCTGTAAATCTTCTTTCTTTTGTATCATAATTTAATTTTTATCTCTTATCTATTTCAGTCAGTTTCCTCATTTGAATTTTTGCATTGTCTTCCCTGATTGGATAATACATTTCTATTTTCTTATGATTGATTAATTGTATTAATTAATTGAATAATTTCTAGTTGCATATTACATCATCACAATAATTGAATATGTATTTCTATTTTATACATAATCCCTTGATATTTTCTTTTAGTTTGATATCAACAGTCATCAATGAATCACCGGCAGAGTTTTATATTAATCCAAGCTACAGGGGAAAAATATCTTAGGATTATATATGCATCAGACATGTTTCTACTCTCTGAAAAATTAAAAATAGACTTGCTGATGTTACACTGAATGAAATTTATCCCTGTGCTTGATTGGCATACCAATTTTGCATACACGAATGTGTAAAGTGTGGTGATTTTGTTTGTGTGTTGTATTTGCTGCAGTTTGCCATGATTAAATATTGATTCTGAAATCTAAATGTGTACGCTTGTTAAAATAGATTGTGTTTATCATACTCTATAGTTATAGGACTGTAGAAAACCATAAGCTCTGATCTCTGTATCACCTGAGTAGCCATCAAATGAAAATACTGTAAAACATGTTGATAAAGCGGCATGCAATTTTAGCGAATTGTAGTGAAATGTTGATTTAGCGAATCTCTCTTGTCATTGTTGAATTCTTTGTTTGGCGGCTTTGAGTTGATAATTAAGTCATTAGCAACATCTTGAAAAGACATGTTTTACAGTAGTTCAGTAGTGTGTGATGTCATATTATGTGATATTGATCTTTCCTATATGACATCACAGTAAAGATAAAAATGTTATGCATACATGTATGTACATCGTGGCAGTTGATTGGATACTTATCCTCTATCTATCTACAATATTGAATATTTTGTTTTCAGGATTATTCACGAATATCTTCATACTAGTTCCATACACACAATAGTACTCACACTGTTGCTTTTTGGTTTCAGGACATGTCATGCTGCCGATTCAGTAATCATGTCTCTATGTTGACACTATACTCATAACACCATAATGTTTCTCATTTCTCACAGAATATATCCATGAAAATTCTAGAATTGATGGTGATCGTGAATTTTCTTTAGGTATGAGCATTTCAGTGGTTTGAGGTAGAAATACAATCTTGTATATTTTTTCATGTTATCAATCATGTTAAAATTTATTTGCTAATATTTCTATAAACATGTTATTCTATTTGTTTGAATGATTTTATTTTCACTTCAATGATTTCATATTCAATATTAATTTATCATATGTATGTTAATTATTAAGTTAGTGCATGTTACAATCTTACTACATGACACATAAAGTACCAGAGACAGACTTTTGGCCACAAGAGATACATGTGGGTAGATGACGACCATGGTCAAATTAATTGCAGAGCATGAAGTGCTTGTTAATGCAAACTCAAAAAAATTTATATTACTAAAATCAGTTTCTGAAACTGAGTGGACATTTTACTTGTGGTAGAGCCAATATTTATTTTGGACACTGAATCCTTTCAAAGTAATTTGCTATCTGACCCTAACATTGGCCTTTGCCTTGGTACCATAATCTGTTTCCCAACATTATGTTTCTCCTGTGGTCTGTCTTCCTGGTAATTAACAAATTTTAAACTGCCATACTAACAAACTGTAGTTGAGATGCCTCTGGATCATAGCATGTGTTTATGGAGTGTCCTTGCATTTCTTGCTGTCAGCTCTTGATGCTATTAGGGTTTAAATAGCCAGGATTGCTCTTCCTATCTTGAAATCTACAAATCACAAGATATTTCTGCATGTGACACAACAGGATGTTAGCATATATCATGTGTGCAGAATATGGGGTAATATGATTTCTAGCAAGCCTTGCTTAATTGGCATAGTTTATCCATATTTGTGATTATGCGTTTATAAAATTACAATCAAAGTTAACCCTCTTTAGTTTAGATGATAACTAATTACTTGAGTCGCTCCACAATGAAATTCTTGAAAACTTGATACTCCATGGATAGCATCTGTTGTGGCTTTTACTATAAATATGAATGTATTAGATCTATACATGCTATAATTCTTAGGTGGTGCTCTTGTAATTGATACTATTTTCATCTGAACTTAGTTTTGATTTATTTTCTAGCTGTGATGACTTGCATGTTGGATTCATATTACACGTACATATACATGTAGTACAGGGATTATGGCATATTATGGCATATATTGGTTGTGCTGTTTCTATGATATATGTAATATATTAATTCATATATTATGGTTATTATTGTCATCCCATCTAGGTATTGTGCATGAAAATCCCCGTATAGGTTCTGATGGGGAAAGCGACCAAGCGTCAGGGACTTCCGATGAGCCGTACTCACCGGTCAAAGTACGGCATAGAAACAGAAGACTACAACGAAGACTCAGTGAGGTAGGAATATACATGTAATGTTTCCTGTTAACGCCCAAACAACATTAGAAATTCTCTTAATCAATAACACTACTTTTTTTAATGCATTATAATAATTTACCCATATCATTGAAAGCGACATGATGTTCCTGGATGAGCAAACAGCATCTTTTTATTAAAGCAAAATATACTTTTATGTTTCATAATAACTAGTAAGTTAAGGGTGCCCAGAACTGCATGAAATATTAATTGATTACCAGCAATCAAGTGAAGCATTAAAAGCTGATGTGATGTATACCGTCTTAGGTCAAGGCAGATCATGGGTAGAAGTGAACTTGAGAAGTCTTTCATGGATCAAAATTGAACTGGAAGATGATAATGGCCAAACATAACATGACCCAAAGTTTATTTATTTAATTTAAGAAATCCTTTGTCTGATAATAGTTTATTTCTGATATGTATTTATTAATTATTTAATTTGCAAATACTGGTAACAGTTTGTTCAAATTCAGTCAATTAATTAATTAAATCAACCAATAAATGCAAGATTTTCCTGGTGAAGATTACAGAAAATAATTATTTTCAGTTGTCAGTTTACAGACCAATTTTAAAAATGTTGTACACATGATCTTACAGTGTACATCCGCTATCTTGGCAATTACTATTTATTTCAACTTGTCACTTTGTCAAAGTTTACAATTTGGAATTCTTCCGACCCAACTGTGGTCCTTTTTACCTTGCCCGTACCATCAAAGATGGAAGGGAAAGGTATATTAAGGGAAAAAATTTGTCCGGCGTTGTTGTTGTTGTTGTCGTCGTCGTTAATAATTGTTATTGTGTGCATAATAACTTTACTAATTCTATTCCAAACTTTATCAAACTTGGTCACCTTATTCATCAGTATAAAGTCTTCCCTGAGTTTGAACAACAGATGTCCTGTATGAAAATATCATGCAAAAATTGAGAAAATCTGATAAAATATTTTGACTGTTTCTACTTGACTGATCACTGGTGATACACATCAAAGGTCACTGATCTCAGTGGAGATATGCATTGTTGTATGTGTTCAATGAAGCAAATGATTTATCTTGTAATAATATCCTTGGTAATGTATCTCAGAATCCCATACTGGGTTTCAAAACCAACTCATGGAGAGATTGCACAGTCTGAT